TACATGCTCCACTCAGAAAGCTTCAACATACAAGCTTCAACAAAAGAAAATTCAAAGAACTTAGCGAAGAAGGCTTTGGTGTATTTAACACAATACGTTGAAATGAAGGAAAGCTTATTTATTGATATCCCCGATAAGCTACAAATATGTACATATACATGAGTCAAAATAAACAAACAAGAGGGAGCCTTCACAAAGGTTGCTTAGGAGAAGTCTCAGCAGTCGGTAGAGCCCCAGAAAGAGAAGGCACCGGAGGGGGATCATTTCGGAGCCTCAGTACTGGACAGAACCCTAGAAGGAGGAGGCATCAGAGGTTGATCATTTGGAGCTTCATTACGCGGTACAGCCCCAGAAGACGAAGGCAATAAATGCCTTTGGAACAAACCCACAAATCTCTGATGATCAAGTAAAACCTGACCATCAGTTTCCTTCATCTGGTCAAGCTTCCTCTTCATGTTTGTAGCATAGTCATGTGCGAGCCGGTGCAACTGTTTATTCTCATGCTTGAGCCCTCTAATCTCCTGTTTGAGACTCATCACTTCAGCCGCCAATGATTCAACTTGGCGGGTTCGAGCAAATAGGCGTTGGGCCATATTAGACACAGAACCTGCACACTGAACACTGAGAGCCAGCGAATCCTTAACAGCTAACTCATCAGACCGTTTGGAAAGTAGTCTGTTATCTTTGGGAGTGAGAAGGTTCCTGGCCACCACCGCAGCGGTCATATCATTCTTCATCACGGAATCCCCAACGGTAAGAGGACCAGTAGGGGAGACGAAGGATGGGCGCCATATGTTGTCTGGAGAAGGCGGGGCTGCCTCTTCAACAAGGTTCAAGTCAAAACGACGGTCGGAGGGGCCAGACATTTTCAAAGGTGTTGAAGAGAGAAGAGGTCGGACAAATCAAGATCTTAGAAGTGCAAGAATGAAGCTTCTACTGGTGGAGATTCAAGTGTGCTTTGGAACTTAATGCCAGCCCCTATAAAAATCTGCACTCGACGGAGCTTCAGAAATCGAAGAGGCGCCTGCTCAGAAATCGAAGAGGCGTTTGCTTTTCTCAAAAGCTGGGCTGCTTAGAGATCACGAGGGTTGATCTCAGAAATCGAAGAGGCGTTTGCTTTCTCAAAAGTTGGGCTGCTCAAAGACCACGAAGGCCGATCTCAGAAATCGAAGAGGCGCTCGCTTTCTCAAAAGCTGGGCTCCCTCAGAGACCACGAGGGCCGATCTCAGAAATCGAAGAGGCACCTACTTTTCCAGCCTTGTCAGCACCTGTCACACGCACACTCAGCTTTGCGGAAATTATGGGCATTCTGTCGAAGACTTCTGGGGAAGTAGAAAACACATGAATCTTACTGTTCAATCACCCACTTCCCACACGCAACAATAGCTCATGGGTACCACAGATAACTTTGCCAAAGTTCTCTGCCAAAGTTGAGCACGTGAAGCTTGCAGCTCCCACTACATCGCTCTGACCAAGAAGGGTAAAAGAATAGCAAAGAAACAGCACTAACAAAGTTTAGACCCATAAATTTTGAAGGTCTAGCTACCATATTATTACCCACAAGGGTAAAGGAACAGTACCACTGCTGGATAATTGGAAAGTCCCTGTGTGTCAACCTCTGTGCTTCGTGGCAAGGTAGACTAGCAAACATGCCCAACCTTTACTCACATTCGAGAAAACACTCCCAATAAGATTGCTTGCTCCAAAATCGAAGAGGCACCGTCCTCCGAATCTCGAGAGCCAGACTCCCAACATGACTACTTTCTTAAAAATCGAAGAGAGGGTAAAGGAACAGTACCATTGCTGGATAATTGGAAAGTCCCTGTGTGTCAACCTCTGTGCTTCGTGGCAAGGTAGACTAGCAAACATGCCCAACCTTTACTCACATTCGAGAAAACACTCCCAACAAGATTGCTTGCTCCAAAATCGAAGAGGCACCGCCCTCCGAATCTCGAGAGCCAGACTCCCAACATGATTACTTTCTCAAAAATCGAAGAGAGACACTGCTCCCCGAATCTCGAGAGCCAGACCCCCAGCATGATTGCTTTCTCAAAAATCGATGAGGCATCGTTCTCCGAATCAATCGAAGAGGCGCTCGCTTTCTCAAAAGCTGGGCTGCTCAGAGACCACGAGGGCCGATCTCAGAAATCGAAGAGGCACCTACTTTTCTAGCCTTGTCAGCACCTGTCACACGCACACTCAGCTTTGCAGAAATTATGGGCATTCTGTCGAAGACTTCTGGTGAAGTAGAAAGCACATGAATCTTACTGTTCAATCACCCACTTCCCACACGCAACAATAGCTCATGGGTACCACAGATAACTTTGCCAAAGTTCTCTGCCAAAGTTGAGCACGTGAAGCTTGCAGCTCCCACTACATCGCTCTGACCAAGAAAGGTAAAAGAATAGCAAAGAAACAGCACTAACAAAGTTTAGACACATAAATTTTGAAGGTCTAGCTACCATATTATTACCCCACAAGGGTAAAGGAACAGTACCACATTGCTGGATAATTGGAAAGTCCCTGTGTGTCAACCTCTGTGCTTCGTGGCAAGGTAGACTAGCAAACATGCCCAACCTTTACTCACATTCGAGAAAACACTCCCAACAAGATTGCTTGCTCCAAAATCGAAGAGGCACCGCCCTCCGAATCTCGAGAGCCAGACTCCCAACATGATTACTTTCCTCAAAAATCGAAGAGACACTGCTCTCCGAATCTCGAGAGCCAGACCCCCAGCATGATTGCTTTCTCAAAAATCGAAGAGGCATCGTTCTCCGAATCTCGAGAGCCAGATACCACAGACCACTTTTTCAAAGTGCTCTGACAGAGTTAAAACATGTGAAACTGGCAGCTCCCACTACCGTGCTATGACCAAGCAGGGTAAAGGAATAGCATTACTACTTGTTGTTAGGGAGACTCCTATATATGTCGACCTCCATCCCCAACGGACAGGCAGACCTGCAAAAATGCTCAACCCTTCATCATATCTGAGAGGGCACTCCCAACGAAGCCTTTCGAAATATTCAGCTTTCTTTCCCCCCGATAATACCTCTGCAAACAAGCTATACTAGAGCAAGAATATCTCATATCATCAGGGTTAAAAGCAAGAGTATCCCATATCATGCTTTTTCCCTGTCTTTTCCTTTGGCCTTGTTTTTACCTGCAAGACAAGGAGAAAGAGAGCAATCAGTCAGCACTTGGAATCAAGCTTCCAGCCAGGAACTGACTGCCTGGAACCCCTTACCTGATTACTTACCTGGCATTGCTCTCGAGTACTCATCTTCAACATCTTATGTTTCCAGGGAAGATTCCGCATCTGCTTGAGGAACAGATAGGGCAAGTGCGAAGGATACAAGGAAGCATGTGGAGACAAGCGTAACAGCACACGTGCCGATACATCCATTACTCTGTCAAAAGCAAAAGTATCCCATATCAGCAGGGTGGAACGTACTCTAGATTTGATGGACTTGTTTTGACCCTCAAATTCTTCAGTCGGCCTTATACTCTGGAGGAAACCAGAAAACCCTCCAGCTCAGTTCAAGAATAAGCCTGTGGAAAGTTACTTCTTCAAAAGCAAAAGTATCTCATATCATCTCTTCTCATTTTTTCTTCTCTTTATCCTTCATGCTGCTGCAAGATGGGGAGAAGGTGAACAATCAGTCGGAGCTCTGATTGCTTACCTTGTCTGTCACCTCTTTCAGCAGACCCCCTAGCTCGGCGACTTGGGGGACTCCTACTACATGGTTTGTATCGCGCTTGACCAAGCCTGAAACTACAAGTAAGCTTCAAGTGAAATTGATACATTACCTTGTGCATCTCCACCAGTTAAAGATACCACCCCTGGATGGAGGAAGAGTACTTCCAGAGAAGATGCCACATCTACCTATGAGACAGATAAGGCAAGTCAAGACGACACCACACTCCGATACTTAGAAGTTTCGTGATTACGAGATCATTCTCCACAATATTTCCTAATGTCATTTGTACTCTAATGTCATTTGTACTAAATCATTCACTTGTACTCACTAAAGGAGAGCTTGAACCTATGTACTTGTGTAAACCCTTCACAATTAATGAGAACTCTTCTATTCCGTGGACGTAGCCAATCTGGGTGAACCACGTACATCTTGTGTTTGCTTTCCTATCTCTATCCATTTATATACTTATCCACACTAATGACCGGAGCAATCTAGCGAAGATCACAAAAAGCGACCGTTTTCGCTACCTAGGATCTATCTTGCAAGAGAACGGAGAATTAGATGGAGATCTCAACCATAGAATACGAGCTGGATGGATGAAGTGTAAGAGTGCATCCGGCGTGTTGTGTGACCGTCGTAGGCCACTGAAGCTCAAGGGAAAATTTTATAGGACGGCAATAAGGCCAGCGATGTTGTATGGCACAGAATGTTGGGCGGTGAAGCATCAACACGTACACAAAATGGGTGTAGCGGAGATGAGGATGCTTCGTGGGATGTGTGGGCACACGAGAAAGGATAAGATTGAGAATGAGGATATCCGAGGTAAAGTAGGAGTAGCCGAAATTGAAGGAAAGATGAGAAAAAATCGGTTCTGGTGATTTGGACATGTGCAAAGAAGGCCGACTGACGCTCCGGTTCGAAGATGTGACTACGGGACAGAGGTTCAGGGCCGAAGGGGTAGAGGAAGACCTAGGAAAACTTTGGAAGAGACTCTAAGAAAAGGCTTAGAGTACTTGGATCTAACGGAGGATATGACACAAAACCGAGCGCAATGGCGTTCTAGGATTCATATAGCCGACCCCACTTAGTGGGAAAAGGCTTTGTTGTTGTTGTTGTTGTTGTTGTTGTTGTTTCTGGAAGGCGTAGTGGCATACTTTTCGATTGCTCTATGTTCTATAACATGGATGTGAGACGATGCTATTCTTTGGATATAATAACTACAATTTCAGCTGTACAAAATCTTAAATATTGTTTGAAGTTTCTTAATCTTTTGTACTCCATTTTTTTATTCTTTTGAAACAGGTGAGAAATGAGAATTTCGTACGTGATATTGGCTTTAAGACAATGGTTTCTCTTGACGATGCTCTGGAGGTCCTGAAGTTATGGAGGCGTGAAAACGAATTCCAGGCCAGGTATGATTATGATTTTCCCTCCATCATGATTGACCTCATTTTATATATCATTAGCTTATATTTCTTATGTCTTACGCTAAATGTTTTGGTTTCACCAATTTTGTGAATACTATTACCAAAGAAATTTAAGTGCTTAAACCTAGAGGATTTCCTCTACAGTATCATTTGCTTTTATAGGCATTAGATCCACATAATCGGGAGGTAATTTTAAGCAATGTTCTTATAGGGAGATATATGTCCTTTCAAAATCACAACCTTAGCAATGCTCGACACAATACATATATGTATATGTACACTTTACTCTTGTTGTATTTGTTTAATTTTGCACGGTCTGCAAAAATTCTTCATCTTTGAAAAAAAAGATTGCACACTTTAAAGTCGACCCTTCTTTTGTCTTCCAGCCTAGGGCAAATGTTGAAATTTTACACATTAATCTGGAATGAAATGGCTGCTTCAACGGAGAAAATTGCAGAGGTTTTCCATTCAGGACCTTCAATATTTATTCCTTATGCATCTAGCTTCAGGCACGAGGATGTGGTATCTGGTACATTGTTGTCCCCTGCAGAAGTATACTGGCATGATTCCACATCCTTTGTAGACCAAATCAGAGAAATTCATCATCAGTGCAGCTCAGCAGGTGTTACTCATGGCTCATTGATTAAGATGCTTTGCAATTTCTACCCAGGCCTTCATGACTTCTTTGTTAACGTCTGTGGAGTCCATGAGATCCCTCCTCTCCGAAGCTACCTTCAGATTTTGCTTCATTTATCAAATGTTGCTTTGCCTTCACAAGCAGCTAGTGCAGTAAGTACTAAGTAACCAAGTTTAGAGAAATATGACAATGAATGCAAGCTGCAGGGTGATCTAAGTGTCTTGTGTTGCTTGTGTCAGGTTTTTCAAGTTTTCCTGAAGTGGACTGATGGACTAAAATCAGGATTGAGTGCTGAGGATGTTCTTTATTTGAAAGATTCGCTTACAAAGATTGAATGTACGGTGCTTCCTACTTTACAAGATACGTGGGTTTCTCTACATCCGTCATTTGGTCTTGTGTGCTGGTGTGATGATAAGAAATTAAGCAAGCACTTTAAGCACTTGGATGGCATTGATTTTATATACTTGGGTGAACTGAGTAAAGATGATGAAGAGATGCTATGTATGAAAGTGTCCATCCTCATGCAGACTTTAGGGATTCCTGCTCTTTCAGAGGTAAGATTAAGATATGTCTCTATGTGAGCGGAGCTGAGATATGTCTCTATTTGTTCACAAACACGCACATGTCACGTGAGCATGTTTATGAAACATAAGCAACATGTTTGAGTTATAAATGGAATTCAATAAGTCATAATAATAAATTAAATCATACACCTGAAACTTCCCCATACCTTCTTGTTTACATGCAGGTTGTAACTCGTGAGGCAATATATTCTGGTATCGAAGACTGTAGCCTTAAAGCTGCATTGCTGGATTGGGCTCTTCCATATGCTCAGCGATACTTGCATGGTGTACACCCAGATAAATATTCTCAACTCAAGCAGTCTGAATTTGAGATGCTGAACTGTCTGCAAGTAGTAGTTGTTGAAAAGCTGTTTTACCGGAATGTTATAAAGGCTACTGGAAGTGAATCCAAGAAGCAAGTTGAATGTAGTTGCCTTCTGACGGTATGTTATTTCATCCTTCATTGAATGTGAATGCCTGCTGTTTGTGTTTCATAATGCTCCTATTATACTTCAAACTGATTTAAACTCTACCTGGAACCACAATATACTTGCATCCTTCTGAAATACAAGGATTTCGTATGTGAAACATCTTATGCAGGTTACTTGACACCATCCTCCTACTTTGTTCTGGGAAAAGAGAAATATAAATTATGCATCCCCTAAAAGTTCCTCCTTTTAATCAACTTCTCTTATCAAATGGTGTTTCTCATAGTTTTATGATTCCGGAAGATATTTTAGCAAGAATTTGGTGTGATGAGTGCATGCAATTTTTCTCACCTTCATACCCTTGTTCCCTTCATTTTATAAATACAGGGTAGCATTTTGTATACAACCCAAGAGTCGGATTCTCATGCATTATTTCTGGAGCTTTCTCGTTTATTTTTTAATGGAAGTCCTGAACTGCACTTGGCAAATTTCCTTCATATGATCACAACCATGGCAGAATCAGGTTCAAATGAGGAGCAGACTGAGTTTTTCATCTTAAATAGCCAAAAGGTACCAAAGCTTCCTGATGGTGAATCTGTTTGGTCCTTGTCTGGCTCTGAGGCTAACTTGGCAATGCATATCCAGTTTGATCCTAGTAGTTTAGGTCTTGTGTCTGATGCTCCTGACCTTGGTTCGTCTAATTTTAGCAATAGAGATCGGCTTAGATTTGGTACACCCAATTCGACACAAGCAAGTTTAACTGGGCGGCTAGGTGAGCTTGTAGCTTTTAAATTTTTTGTTGACAAAGCTGGCGAGGCAGTTGTTAAATGGGTTAATGAACACAACGAAACTGGGCTACCATATGACATTGTTCTGGGAGAGAAGAAAAATAGTAGAGAGTACATTGAAGTTAAAACAACCAAGTCTACAAGAAAAGACTGGTTTGAAATATCGATGAGAGAGTTGCAATTTGCGGTTGAGAAAGGTGAAGCTTTCAGTATTGCACATGTCGTTTTATTGGATAATAATGTTGCAAGGGTCTCAGTATACAAAAATCTTGCAAAATTGTGCCAGCTTCACAAACTACATTTGGCTGTCTTGATGCCTGAGCAGCAGAAGGAATTTTCCATTGTGTCCCAGTCCTAAAAGGTACTTCATGTGGCCTCTACTGCATGCCCAATTGGCCTATCTAAGTTGATGTGGCAGCAGACGATCTGCTTATTTAACCGGATTTTATCACATCAAATTGGGAGGCCATAGGCCAGTTGATTTGCAACCAAAAGTTTTGACTTTTGGGTGAAAATTGTGCTGGAATTGGACATGCCGAGAACTATTCGTTCAAACTTCATCATCTGTTGTGTGTAGTTACTGCTGTCAGCTGGGATTCTTCATATTTATTCGAACAATTCAGTCCCCTTCATTGATTTTAATAGGAGCGAGAGTGACCTCTCCTCTATGGCGTCTGTATGTACAATGGATAGGAATTGTCTCTGGCAACAATGTATATATTTACACTATGTTTGGACGAAGGAAATAAACTTGGAATTTGGATAAAAATCAGAATTTATAAATTGATATGCACAAATTCCCTTGTTTGGATTTATAAACATAGAAATTTAGAATTTCCGAGTGTAAAAAGCCTTGGAATTTGGGGCTTCCAATTCCTAAGTTTAAATTCCATGTAAATATGTGTCATTTCCCAATTTCTATGATTGAGAGTTTAAAATTAACAAATTTCATTTTCAATTCCATTGTTTTTTTAGGTTAACCAAACAAGAAAATTCATAAATTCTAGAAAATAAAATCCCGTCATTTCAATTTCCATCATTTTAAAATTTCTTAGTAATCTTAAATTTCTTCGTCCAAACTTAGTGTTGCAGAATTTACTTGGTTTTATTAGCTAGATGACAGTTGCTTATCAAAGATATTGTACAGTTTTTTTTTTTTTTTTTTTTTTTTTTTTTTTTTTTTTTTTTTTTAAGTTGAGGACTTCCAAGTTCTGCATTTTAGGCTTATCGATGTTCTTCTTTTCCAGCTTTTTATGTGCTTTCGAGGATTACATACGACTCTCTCTGCAAGAACGCGCTGTTGTTCGACCACCCTGTTATTTTGTTTGCCATTCTTTTCCAGTTCCTTTCATACTAAAACACAAGCTGGGCCTTACTCGAACATAATTTGAGATTTGGAGTTGAGTTCTTAAAAACCTAATTTTTGATCAAAGAAGAAGAAAAGCAATGGAAAAATGGGAGGCAATAAATCTTTGGAGATGTTTTCCTTGGCGCCCAATTCGAAGAAAGCCCTATTACGGACTAGATCATCACAAAATCTGCGATATCTGTTAGCCAATAAAATTATTTGACTAGCCCGCAAGGAAAGTGTTGTTGCCTTGCAAGTTGCAAGCAAAGCCAAGCCCACAAGGAAATTATTTGACTAGCCCACAAAGTGTTGTTGCCTTGCAAGTGCGTTTGGTACGTGGGACGGGACGGGACGGAACGGAACGAGGCGTTCCGTCCCGCGTTTGGTGCGCTAAAAATGGGTGGAACGGGTTGTTCCACGGGACAGATTTTGGGTGTTTTTGCGTTCCACCTCTCCCCCCTGGAACGGGTTTGTTCCACGTCTGTGGAACACAGTGTTTTACCATTTTAAGACAAATATACCTCATGTCTTTTTCAAAAATTACACCTTCGTTCCGTCCCGTCCCGTTCCGTCCCGTCCCGTCCCGTTCCGTTCCGTCCCGTCCGCGTACCAAACACATAACGAAATGGGACGAGACGGGACGGAACGGAGATGGAGCAAAGATGCCCTTGGATGGAAACAAGGAGGAAGAAAAAGGAGATGGAGAGGTTATAATTTTGTGTTCCACGGATGTGGAACGAGTCGTTCCAGGGGGTGAGGCGGAATGAAAATTCATCCAAAATTTGTCCCGTGGAACATCGCGTTCCACCCGTTTTAGGCGCACCAAACGTGGGTCAGAACGCCTCGTCCCACTTCGTTCCGTCCCGTCCCACATACCAAACGGTATCGTTTGGGCACACCAAACGGGGGTGGAACAAGTCGTTCCAGGGGGAAGGTGGAACGAAAAAGTGACCAAAATCTGCTCCATGGGATAGCACATTCCACGATTTTTTGGCACACCAAATGTGGGACGGAACGTCTCGTCCCATGTACCAAACAGTACCTTATAAAATGAGGGAGATGGTTGTTGAAATTTGAAAACACACCGACAAGGCAAAACGAAACAAAAAAAACCAATAAAATTGGGAGTTTTAACGAAAAGCCCGTGGTACTACTATTCACTTTAACAAAAAACAACATTTTTACACTAAAAAGTCAAACCTGGTACTATTCATTTTACCCTTTATTTTGTCATTTTCGTTAAAACTCAAAGTTTTCAAGCTCTTTTCATTAGTTTTCCTTAAAAATTAAACAACGAAAAATTCAGTCACATACAAACCTCGAAATAATAACGAAGAACTCAAAAACACATAGAGAATCGGTACGTCAGTTAGGGGCAAGGGTTGGAAGTTAAAATTTGTGAGTTGCTTGTCGGCCTTTGCTTGCAACCTCGTGGGGTTTCCTTTTGTCTTTAATTTTGTCATTTTCATTAAATGAAGTATGTTGAATGCTTTCAGTTAAGAAAAAGTACGTATGAGTAATTTTCATTTAAGTTTCTTTTTAATTTCATCATTTTTTGTAATTCCTTAGTAATTCCAAAAGAGATTGTTGAACAAATCCTTAATATTCCAATTGGTTGTGGTGCTTTGGCTAATAAATGTATCTGAAATGGAACAAGTGATGGTAACTTTTCTATTAAATATGTTTATATGTTGGCCATTAATTCTAGTGGTTTTCCTAATTGGTGATGGAATCTTATCTGGAAACTTCATATTCCTACAAAAGTTCAGAGTTTCTTATGGTCACACTCTCTTGATAAGCTCCTCACTAATGAACAAAGGCTGAGGAGGGATATGACTGATAAACTTGAGTGTCAAAGATGTACTTGTGGCTTCGAATTAGTAGCTCATGTTTTTAAAGATTGTCCTAAGACAAGAGAAGTTTGGCAAAAGTTGGGAATGTTGAATCAACAGTTAGACCACAATGATTGCCATGATTGGCTTCATTTTAATCTCACCAATAAAACTTTCTTTGGGGGGGGGGGGGGGGGGGGGGAAGACGTTTGGAGTGGTGGTTAGTTTTTTTCGTTGCTTTCTGGTTTATTTGGTATTGGAGAAATAAATTTATTTTTGAGTAGGATTTTGCAATGACTGATGAGCCTACAATTGCTATTTGTACTTATCTTCGTGAATGGTTGAAGGTTCATACTCACAAGTTTGATAAACTGCATAGGATTGAATCTTTTCTCCATTGAGATGTTCCTCCTTCGGGGTAGTTTAAGCTTAATGTTGATGGTTGCAAGAAGGGAAATAATAATTCTATTGAAGCAGGTGGTGTTTTAAGAGATTCCGATAGTAAATGGATTTCTGGGTTTTGCGCCAATTTGGGCACAGGTGAGATTCTCACTATTGAACTATATAGGGTCTTTACTTACAATTGGCATGGAAATTACGGATTCATAAATTCTTTGTGGAATCAGACTCTGCAGTTACAGTTCATTTGGTGTTACAAGCTGCTGGCAATAATCATCCTTTAGGCCTCCTTGTTTTGGCATGCCGAGAATTGCTTTCAAGATTGTGGCAATGCGAACTTTGACATGTCTACAGAGAAAAGAACTTTGTGGCAGATGGTTTAGCGACCTACAATCTTGATTTAAATTTAGGTCATTTTTATTTTGATACTCCATTCTTGTTCAACTAGTTTCATTTGTGAGGATCGATTTGGGATGTCCCGGTCTAGATTTATTATTGACTAGGTTTGTTTGGGCTCTTGCTTTTAGCCCCATTTTTCAACCAAAAAAAAAAATCTTCTAAAACACGTTTGGAATTTTGAGTTATGGGGTCTCAGACCAATTCCAACCCTTAGAGTAAGTCTCAAATTTTCCCTTCTATTCCCCTTCCCCCCCCCCCCCTAAATTTCATTCCAACCCTTGTGCTAAAATGAGATTAAACATTAAAACTTAAAAAAAAACTCAAATTCCCCCAAGATGTAACCCAAAAATAGTGGTTGAGCCCATGTGTGAAAGTGAGAAAGGGAAAATGTAGCTCACTTGCTAGGTAAGGACGCACGCACGAGCGGCACACGCCTCACCTAGTAGGTCCCCAACCCCACCCATGTGGCCACATCAGTCACTTGTCTTTTCATGAAGATGGAACCTAACGACTCATTTGCATAACCAATGGCACAAATTCAAATGACCAACAGTTCATATTTGTATTTGTTTTTTTTTTGTTTTATATTTATAATTTCATTTAATCCAAAGGCTAATATATAATGTAATAAAATCCAACAGTATAAAAAAAGATCTAACAGCCAAAATTTAAATCCAAAGGTTAAAATAATTAAAAAAATATATTTAACTCAAAATTCACCCAAATTTAGTGATTTTTCAATATTTATCGGAATCTAAATATTTTTTGGTTAAAAGGTTCATAAAATTAAATTAGGATAGTGTACATAATTAAAAAAATTACTTAAAAGAAAAAATTAGCCTAAATTTATTCTTTAATAACCTCAGGCTAAAAAATTTAGGCTAGAAAGGGTTGGAGCAGAAAAACTGTTTCTTGGTTAAAACCTAAATTTTATGGGGTAAAAATTTTAGGTTTTACTCCAATGGTTGGAGATGGTGTCAAGGGTTTAACAAATCTAAGTTTATTTAGTATAATTGGAAAAATATGATCTATGTTGTATGCCTATTTTAGTGGGGGAATAAGGAAAAGGTTCAGCATAGGGAGAAATAGAGTAAATAGAATTGGAGAATTTATCTGGTGTAGTTGCCTTTATTTATTTTAAACATAGCAGACCTTCTTGCTCTCCAGAGAACACAAAATCTAATAAAAAAATTTCTAGAACATAATATTAAAATCAATTTATTAAAATTTACACAATCGCACTCCTAAGGAAATTAGAATTGCAACAAATACGCCAATTTTTAAATTCACCTCATACATACTTATTCCCTAGCATATGTTTATTCAAACAAAAATGATATTCTTACTATTTATTTAGGAGTAGGATTCTCTCCTCTCTTTTTTCCATCCCCTTCTCTTTTCTCTTATTTGAACAACCACAATTAAGCCACGTCAACATCTTATATTAATTTTTTTATAAAAAAAAAAAGACAAAATGGAAAGTGTGAGAGAAGGGGAGGAGAATAGGAGGGGAGAGAATTCTACTCTGAACTATCATTTATACCATCTATAGAGATGGAACCTACATGTATTAATGAGTCCTACCTCTATTAAAAAAATGGTACAAATGATCTTGAAATATCACGTCTAATACCATGTAGATGCAATCGTATATATTAGAATATAATTTTGCACATCTTGAAAAATTCAATAAAGACTTGCAAAAAAGAGAAAGCTTCAAAAATATGAGCCTATGATGGCATTGGTGTTGGGTCCTTCAACGTTCATGTCAATAGCCTTATAATTATTGAA